CCCCCCCCCCCCCAGCCTCTCGGCAGCCGCATGATGCTTTGAGCTCTCGGAGGGGCCTCTTTTCGGGTGCTCCCAGCTACACGTCAGCCTTTGCTCCGTACCTGGGACAGGGCGATGGGGACGGGGCTGGCCAACACGTGGGGTTGCTTCTGGAGCTTCTCGGTAGCTGACAGGGGACTTGGCCTGTGGGAGGGGGATGCCGTGGGGGGTCTTGGAGGAAGACACTTCTTACAAGAGGGCTGGGACACCATCGGGGACAGGTCCCTGAGGAGCTTGGGACCACGCAGGTAGCTGCACTGGGAGCTGGCAGAGGTCTCCACCACGGGGGCTGCTCCGTGATGTCAACCCCATGGTCAGGTCAGGGCTCTGAGGGAAACTTGAGGGGTGAGAGGCAGAGGCTGCCTGGGAGGAGAGGCCAAACACATTGTCAGTGGCCCTTGGCTCATGTGAGAAATGAGGTGGAGCGAGAACTTCTCTCTGGTATAATTTTTTGGCTTTGAGGGTGGCCCCGTGCCTGTGGGGTGAGCCGGCAGTCCAGAGTCATTGCTGGGATCAAAGGAAGTGACTCTGATGGCCAAACCCAGGACTGCCAAATTCACCTTTTCTCTGAAACTGGGAAGTTTTGAGGACAGCACTCTCCAGTTAAGGTGGAAACAGAGCGTCCTTCTGAGGGAAGCACTCAGTCCGGCTGGAGCTGGCTCCTGCCTCTGCAGCACCCCACGGACAGCTCGCAAAGCAAAGCCCCCAGAAGTCAGGGGTCAGCAGGGACAAGGCCGTGTGTCTGTCCAGGGTGCACTGGGGAGGGCTGGGGGTGGCTTCAGCCTTCAGCCAAGCAGAGGGAGCACCTCTTTAGCCCCACTTAAACTGCGTAGTCCAGGGTGGGTTTCCAGCCCTGTAGACCCTTGTGTTGAGACCTGACTGCTCTGCTGCTGCTTTCTGGTTTGCAGGTGGTGAATTATGCTCCTTTCACGCTGCTCCCGTCTGCAGTGCCAAGTGCCCTGTTTGAACAAGCGTACGCTGTTCAGCAAGATTTCAATCTGCTGGTGGATGCTATCAGCCAAAACAAAGAATTCCTGGAGCATTCTCTGGCCAGGTAACTTTCTTGCATGTTGCGTTTTAATGAAATATTTTAAATACGAGACATTTAGCACCCTTCAGGGCATTCCTACCTTCCATCCACTCATGTCCTGCAAGCTGAGGCGGGCACTCCTATCCTCTGCAGAAATTGTCTCCTTTGCTGCATTATTTGCTCTAAGATTAATTTCCATCACATCTCTGTGTTTTTGGGTCTCCTTGGGCCTCCGAGGATGGGACATACAGCCAAGAGCTGACACCCTACAATGATCTTCAATTTTCCCAGTGTTTCGAGCTTGTGAATTCTTAACTTGTGAGCTTGTTGGCCCCTGTGTCTTAAATTCAAATTGCTGGAGACTTCTTTGAGTCCTGTATTTTGCAGTCTTGTTTTGGTCTCGTTTTGCATCTGCCTGTGGTTATCCAGTAACCACCAGCTCTGCCTGCAGTTATCAGTTCCCTGCCGGGGAGGTGACCCGCAAGCTGTGGGTGCTGGAGGTCAGCTCTGGCTCACGAGCTCTGCTGGATTTATCTGTGGCTGTTTCCCTGCGCTGGAGTGACCACCCCTGACTGGTTGGGCTGATGCTTCCACAAAACCCATTTCCCTTCCTGCTGTTCTGTGCTGCCTGTCTGCACCGGTACGGATGGCTCTCCAGCAGCAGGACAGAGCAAAGGACACTGGTTTCCAGCATTGTGCTTGTTTTGCTAAAGCCTGACCCTGCAGAGCTGTTGCAGTGCTTGTGCCTGTTCCAGAGCTGGCTGCAACCAGAGCTTGTAGGGGCATGTTTGTACCTGTGGTTAGGGAACGCAGCGCCTGGGGCTTGCGTGCACTCAGGTGCCGACTCCTGCGCAGTGTCTCGGGGCAGCTCCTTGGAGGTGCTGTGCACAACTGGCTCGGGGATTTGGGACCCTGAAGAAATGCCAGACGTTCTCTATCAGGGCCACTGAAGCGCTTGGCAGCACAGTGCCTGGGGTCTGGAGCCCAGTGGGACAGGGATTTGATCAAGCTCGTGGAGCTTCTTCTGTGAACGTGTGCAGGCAGAGAGACTGCTGATTTCTCTCCTGTGTCTGCAGAATCCTGCTGCGTTTCTTTGCGTTTTCTTGTCCCATCTCTCTGCCCTGCAAATGAAAGTCACCTCTGCACAGCGATGCTTTTTGCAGAGTGGCTGTGCTGGGCAAACTGGATTTGCGTTACGCACTGTGGCCCTGGATGAAGAGTGCGTTCAGGGTGAGGTGTTTAACAGTGCTGTAGGACTTGATCTAGCCACAGCCCCGCCTTTTGTGCTGGTAAGGTTTTTTTTCTGGAGAAGAGTCAGTTTTCTTGTTCCTCTGTGACCGTGTAGGGGAGCTGATCTGGTCTTTCTTTCTCTCTAGCACCATCAAGGTAGATGACTTCACAGCTCAGCTCTTCAGAATCCACATGCAAGTTCTGGAGGAAGGCTTGGCTCAGGTACCTTGGCAGGAGACCCGCCTTTGCGTTGCGGTGGGATTGCCTGGTCTCTGTCTGCGAGCTTGCTGCTGTGCGCTTTGGACTGCCCCGTCGTCAGGCTGGTTGCTGCCTGCGCTACGGTGTCGTGGTTGCAGCCTGTGAGCTCAGGACCTTGCCCTGATAGACAGTCGTGCCCTTTGGTCAGCACTGCTGGAAGCAGTCAGGCCTTGACTGGAGGATTTAATATTGCTTATCTTTGTCCTCTGGGAGCCTCGGGAGAGTGCAAGGACGTGTGCTGTGTCGGGACCTGCGCCGGACAGGCTGTCACTGCAGCAGCTCCTTTACTCTCACGAGCGTTGTTAACTGCTCTGGAGTACTGAGAGTGGCTGTGAGCTCTGCGCGAGGGCCAGAGCACCCACGGGCACGTCTTGCAGTCAAAATGAAGGTGACTGGATCTGCCCCAGGAGGATACTGAAGCGAGGTCATCGGAGGGATTTGCAGTAAAGGCAACAGGAGAACCCACTTCACCTCCCCTCTGTTTCAGTCTGTGTTTTTAGGCATAAACCGCTCTGATTACATGTTTGACTGTGGGGTGGACGGGACACCGGCTCTGAAGCAGATAGAAATAAACACCATTGCTGCCAGCTTTGGAGGCCTCACCTCGCGCACTGCGGCTGTCCACGGGTAAGGGAGCGTCTCTGGCCTGTGCTGCCAGGCGCTGCAGCAGCTGCGCCGCGTGCCCTGCTGCGCTCCGTGTCTTTGCCTGCTCTCCAGACTCCTGCTCGCTAGGCCCGGTCGGGGGCTGTCAGGGCACTGACTGCTTTGTTTTGTGTTTCCCAGGCGGGTGTTGAAAGTGCTGGGGAAGTCTGAGGAGGCTTCGCGCCTGCTGCCCAACAACCCATCAAAGGGGCTTGCCTTGGGGATCGCGAAAGCCTGGGAGCTCTACGGTTCACAAAGGTGAGGAGAGAGAGGAGATGCTGGAGGCTGGGTTATCTTGTCTCCCCTGGGGCTGCACGTGTCTGGTTTTGAAATTGTGCTTTCTGAGAGATGCGTGTGTGCTGGACAAGCTGTTCTCGAAAAGCCTGTGGCACCCCGGGAAGAGCAACGCCGTTGTCTTCACACACCGGGCTGCTGTGTCGCGAAGGCAGAGAGGGACCCTGGAGGAGTTGTGTGGTTCAGTAACCCTGCACAGAGCTCGCTTTTCCTCCTGCCCTTGTGCTTGTGCCCCGCACTGGTTTGGTAATTGTGCAGGATCAGTACTGCTCTCCGTCTGCATGCTGGCTCCTGGAAGCACTGGAGAAAATGAGCAGGAGCAGTGCAGGGAGCCTGAGTCACAGGGATCAAAAGTTGGTGATCCTGGGTGCACGGGGCCTGTCTCTGGGTTTAATGATGTCCTCGGTTTCTCTTCCAGTGCTGTGGTGATGTTCCTGGTGGAGGAAGTCCAGAGGAACATTTTTGATCAGCGATGTGTAGAGAACGAGCTGTGGAACAGGTAAAGGTTGAATTTTCGTGGGATGAGAAAGGAAGGTGATGGTACAGTTTTGGGGAAGGGAAGCGGAGCGATCTGCTGCCAGGTCATGGTGTTTCGCTCGAGGCAGCCAGTGGCACGTCTCCAGGCCCTGCAGCAGGCACGGCGTGGCAGCAGGAGCGTAGGAGCGGGCCAGGGGGAGATGGAGGTTGCAGAATCTGTTTGCTTTTTACTTTGTCACCTACTTGAGGGTAAATTCAAAACAGTTTATGGCTTCTGGAACTGTGAGAGGGCATGTCTAGGTATGTAACAGGGCAGCCTTTATCCTGGGCTTACCTCTGTGGTCTGTTACGCAGCTCTTCCGCGTTCCTTCGGTGGCCTGCTGTCAGCACCCACCTTCGTCTTCTCACCAGCCTCCCAAAGCCTCTCACCTGCTCTTTGCTGGAAATACCAGCAGCCGTCAGAGCCTCTGGTCTCCAGGGCAGATTCCTTGCTGATTTTGTACCTGTGTAGTCCTCAGAGCTGCACCAGTGGTGACTTTGCTGTGGTCCGAGCCGCTTAGATGAGACTATAAGGAGCAGAGCGGGGTTAATATGGGACCTGCTTGCTTTCTGACTTGGGATTGGGCATGGGGTATTTCATAAAAGCTTAATTAACGAAGCTTCAAACCCATTGTGAAAGATCTGGGCAAAGTAAGCGACGTGGCAGTGGAGAAGGAGGTGTTTTGGTAAGGTCTAGCCCTGAGCCTGTGCTGGCACAGCGGGAGGTTTGTCGCGCTGTGTCGGGATCAGCGCGTCCGCACTGCCGCGGTGTGGAGGACAGGCTGCAAAGCGTGGAGGAGGTAAGACGTGCAGGAAGCCACTCATCAGTCTGCAGCTCTTGGCTTTGAAGCCAGCAGTGAGTGAATCCGTCATGTAGGGATAAAAAAGCAAAATACTGACTTCTCTTAGAAGCACGTTAGGAGGCGAAAGGTGAGTGTGGAGAAATCCAGGGTGTTTGGGCACGTGTTCTGCTTCCTACAGTATTTGGGCTGGAAACGTAGAATGGGTGCTAAAAACGGGGGCTGTTTTGGCCTGTAGGATTCCTCTGGCTGCAGAGTACAAAACCCGAGGTTATTTGTGAAGGAGCCTACAGCTCCTCCGTGCTGGAGCTACCGGTTCCACCTGTGTGATTCCTAACTCGAGCAACTGTGCCCAGCCTGGTGACTCTCCCACTCCTCTCTTACCAGGAACATTCGGGTCATCAGGAAGCGATTCAGAGATGTGTTTGAAAAGGGGTCTCTGGACGATGCCAAGAGGCTGTATATGTGAGTATGAGCCAAGGTGCGCGTTCCTGGCTGTGTGTTGGGTGCACAGCGCTGTAAACGGGAATTTTCAACCAAAGCTGGTGGTATGTTTTGAGTGTAAATAGTGACTTTCTGAGAAAGCAGTTCTCTTCTGTGCTCCAGGCTGCTGCTTCCCCTTAGAGCTGAAATGATTTTATTTTCACAGTGGTGAGATTTTGCATATGTGCATCAGTCCCTTGCAGCTGGAAACATAATTTCCCTCCTTCAGGCCGCAGCCTTCAGAGCTCTGCGGGATTGTTACTTCCTCCACGTACATCTGCTACGAGAAGTCCTGGCGACTTCAGAGGCTTCCACAAAGACATTCCCTGTTGACTGTTCACGTGGTGCTCTGCCAGCGGGGCTGGGCCGGGCTGGTAGTGCTAGAGGGGGAAGCAGTCCATGTCCTCGTGCTGTCTGTTGGTTCCGGATGCACTCAGCATCTCGCCCGCTCCCTGTAGGGGTCGCAGACTCCTGGTGCTGGCAGCTGGTCCCAAGTGTGACATTTGTCCTATTTCCAGGGTAGTGTGCGTGGAGCTGTACAAGCCTAAAGGAAGATACGGTTCCGTGCCAATGTTTTCTCTATAGTTAGGCTGATTTTTAATTTTTTTTCCATGGTTTGACCTTTGGTGCCTCTGCTGTGCTTAATTAACGAATACATTTGTCATCGCCAGACAGTAAAGGGGAAAGTGTATCCGCTGTACTTCCTCTGGAGCATCCCCTCCTTGTACTGGTGAATGCCTTTACGATTACACTGCCAGCAGTTTCTGTGCTGCTCTCCTCGACCACGGCACAATTTGTGTGCCCAAAGCTCGGGTGTGTGGTGCTATGGGTACGCTGACGGCCCTGCCCTGGCAGGATGTTTTGGTGCCTGGGCAGGTTGCTGAGTTGATGTCCTGCCTGGAGTTGCCACCAGAGAAGGACCCTGTTCCCTCCCGGCTTCAGGAGTCTCCCAGGCCTGGCTCCCGGTGGCAAAAACTATTAAAAAAATGGATTCTTACCTCCCTGCTGGGCTGGGTGCCTGAAGTATTGAGACTTTGGTTAGTCAGGGCTGAGGCCAGGTGTTGGCTGCCTGTGTCTCGGGACAGGGCAAGCCAGCTGGGGCTCGGCGGAGCTGAAAGCCAGGGCTTTCATCTTTCTCTGGCGGGGCCAGCCAGGAGCAGAACAGCCCAGGAGGCCAAGGAGAAGGGGCAGTTGCTGTGAAGCATTGCCTGCCTGACTCCATTGCAGCCCCCTTGGTGCTGGGGGGGTCGGGCAGGGGCTGGCCTGGGGCTGTGAACGCTTCTGGTGTCTTTTCCAGGGACGGGCAGGAGGTAGCAGTGGTGTACTACAGAGAGGGCTACGTGCCAAAGAACTACGACCAGCAGGTCAGTGCCGAGTGCTTTGCTTCGGGAAGCCACCCACCCTGTGGCCTTGCCCAGCGGGTTTGAAACGCCCTGTGATCCCAGGGGCATCTGTCCTGCCCTGGGTGGGGTTAGTCCTGTCCAGCGTGGCTGATGGCCTTGGGAAGCTGTGACACCGCAGCGCGTGCGGGTGTCCGTGGGCTCACACAGTAAGAAGATGAGCGGCTCGCTTCTCCAGCAACCGCTCATGTGGTGACCTCTTACTGCAGCACTGAATTGCTTCTGCAAGTGGGGGTTAACACAGGAATGAGCACCTGCTGAAAGGGTTCAGGCTTGTTCTACAGATCGCTTTCTGTCCTCTACTAGGACTGTTAGGCTGCAGGTAATAATAGCACGATCGGATCTTGCTGTTGTCTGGAGGTGGCAGCACTGGGCAAGCTGGGGAGGAGGCGCAGGCAAAGGCTGCGCACTGAGCCGGCTGTGCTGTTTGCAGAGGTGGTGGGAAATCCATGTGTGCATGTCTGCTTGTCTCCGGAGTGCTGTTCCCACCCCATCCCTGCTGGGGAGGGAGGGAGGGAGGGAGGAGGCAAATCATGTGTCAGTAACTGAACAGAATGTGTGTGTGTCGTTTCCCTGCTGACGGGATGGTTGCTCTCTTTCTGTCTCAGAACTGGGAGGCGCGGTTGTTGCTGGAGAGATCAAGGGCAGTGAAGTGCCCTGACATCGCCACCCAACTGGCAGGCACCAAGAAGGTCCAGCAGGAGCTGAGCCGGCCCGGGATGCTGGAGAGATTGCTGCCCGGCCGCGCCGAGGCTGTCGCTCGAATAAGAGCAACGTTTGCCGGACTCTATTCCCTGGACATGGTGAGCGTGAGCGGGGCTGGAGCAGGAGTGAGCGTGCAGATGTGTGCTTGGCCTGCGTGATGTTTCGCTTTGGTTAACAAGATGAGAGAGCTTTGTTGTGGTCCCTGGGGGAGCCGGTTGATCCTGCTCCTCCCTGATGCTTTGCTGCTGCCATCCTTTCCTGCCAGGGCGAAGAGGGCGACAAGATAGCGGCTACGGCCATCGCTGACCCCGACCGGTTTGTGCTGAAGCCGCAGCGAGAAGGTGGAGGTATGAGCTGGAGCAGGTCCATGCGGGTTTCTGTTGTGGTTCATGCTATATCTGGGAGAGGGAGCAGCTCTGTGATGGCTCCTGGTCCTGTGCTGAGGGATGGAAGGTGGAGTGGGGTGGCTTGTAGCTCCTTGCAGCCATGGGACTAGTCACGGCCATAGGGTAGAGCTGCTCCTGGAGGAGTTCCCTAGGCCCCAGAGCTGGGGCGTGGGGAGCCCAGGCAGCGTGTGAGGAGGCAAAGGCTGGGTCTGTGCGGGCTGCCGGGGCTGCACAGCTGGGGCCAACGGCTACTGCTGTGCTGTGAAGTGTTTGACTTGCTGGATTTGTTGTCAGGGAACAACCTCTACGGTGAAGAGCTCAGACAGGTTCTGGAGAAGATCAGAGACAGCCCTGAGAGAACCTCCTACATCTTGATGGATAAGATCAAACCACAGCCAGCAATTAATTACTTGCTGAGGGCTCACAGTCCCCTACAAGTGTCTGAGTGCATCTCAGAGCTCGGTATTTTTGGTGTCTACGTCAGGTGAGAAACGTGTCTGCGTTACTGGGTGGTTACCGGCACACGGGGTGGGAGCGTTTCCCCCTCTGCGCTTCTGAGACGGCAGCAGGGCAGACGTCTCTGGGGAGGGGGAGGTACAGGGACAACGTGACCGTTCGGTCTCTGCCCCTGCCAGCAGCTCTCTCAGCGCTCTGCTCAGACACTGAACTGCTGCTGTGTACCTGCTGCCAAACGAGCTGTCGAAAAACCACAGAGCCGCTGCTGGCGGGTCCTGGGGGCCACGGCCCCCCGGGAACGGC